CTCTTTGGTTAATTAGACTGGCCAAGTGTCGGTCAGATGAAAGAGTATTTTTGTCACTTACCTTCTTGTTGACACAAATAAATGTCACAAGAAGGTGGTTAGATCCATTTTGTAATGTCAATAAAACAATTTCTTAAGTTTTTTTGACTTTTTAAAATAATTCAAAATATAAAAATACAAAGTCAAATAGTTTAGAAAAAGAAAAATAATCGGAATGGGAAAGGATATTAGTAAGGGAAATTGTCTCCAATTACTTTTACTTATTTTAATAAATGAACTAATTACTTCATCAACTTTTTCCTTTTCTCCTTGCAACTGTTTTACAGGAATTCAAGCAAGTTTTTCTACCAAATTCATTTTTTGATCACAAATTAAGATGGAACCTTAAACGGAACTACAAAGAGTCTTCGTCACATTCAACTACTGATGCAAGTTCCAAAAATGCTTTTGAATTACCACGAAACGTCTTAGACAGGTATGCAATTCATTGCAAAAGGAAAATTAAAATTCATTTCATTTGATACTGCGAGTTTCTCCGTAACTATACGTCTTTTGCTGAGCTGCTACGCTACGCAAATCTATTTATTACACTATTGAAGCATACATCATTTTTACGCCTTTTCCCACGTATATCTATGACGTATTAAGCTGAATTGCTTTTTACGATCAAATTTGAGAGATTAACGCAGTTAAAATTGTAGAAATATTGAAGGCGTTTGCCCGGCGGTAACGGCAACTTCGGAATTACCAATGGAAAGTTCGATGACCTGGTCACAGTACGCAGCTGAGAACAACCTGCCGGAAAAGTTAAATACAAATATAGGAAATACGGAAAATGATGAAGATGCTAGCCTGTTACATTCCAGTGCCTAAAAGAGTAAACATTTCGAGATTGTACAAATGTAAATAATATTGAAAAGTTTTTCTTCAAAACTGAATAAATTAATAAATTTTTAAAATTCAGATTTGTAAATAATCATCGTTGTCTCATTTTAGTACATTTTCAATATGATAACATAGAGGGAAAACAGTTTTGTTGGTAATAGTATGATAAAATATAATCTTAAGAGAGTTCTCTTAAATTTTTATGATTTATATTTAAATTGAATTTATTGAAATTGCATAGATTATCAGAATTAATCCAATCGAGTTTTGAAACATACTTCTCGATGAATGATGCCCTAAATGCTTAGCATTTTTCCTGAAAAGCTTTCGAGTGTTTCAAGTATCGCAATCTTCAAAATTGAGAAGCTCTCTGTTAATCAGGCATGAAAACTTTGATGATTGAAAAAAAAATTTTCAAGCTATTATTATTCATCAATTCTACATATCAAATGCAAAAATTAAAACAACAATTTTTTTTCGATGTTAAATTTGCAAATAAAATATTTGCTTAAATTTTAATTTAAAATCTTATATTTCGTATAATTTAAATTAATTTTGTTTATTCAATCTGCTGGTCAACTGAGCATCAGTCATAGCTTTACCTATTAATTTTAACTGCGACTCTTCTGCACTCATTGAAATCCTTCAACTCTCTCATAAATAAAATTATTAAAATTTAATAGTTAATCTAACCAATCTAATAAGAAAGATGTCGTCTGGCTTATAGGAATTTTAGAAGAATGAAGATTGAAATTTAAATTCATTAATACCTAAGAGTTTGAATTAGTTAAAGTAACACAAAGGTTTGGTTTAAACAAGTTAACAAATACTTTAAGTATTATTATCCAATCAATACTAAAAGTAGAATAAGAAACGAAAATTGAAGCAATGAGACACAATATGTAAACATTTTAAATGAAACTTAAAATGGTTCAAGAAATTTTGGAGTAATGAAAAAAAGAGATAAATAAACAAATTAAATTATATACATATATGTATTTAATTTAAATTAATTTCTTCAAATTAATTTAAATTATTTTATTGAAATTTAAAATAACAATTGTACAAAATCAATTTCTTAATGGGAAAAGTTCTAAATTTCATTTTAAAACTTTTTTCTCATCCGTTTCCTTTGTTGCTGTACGCGTAAAACTTGTCGATCCGATGCTTTTTCCTGAACTTCTTCTATGTGTCACCTCAGGAAGTATTTTTTTCGTACTCTACAACAAAAATTCAACAAAATTTGATATTTAAAAACAAATTATGTTTACCACAAGTTAAATACTCTTACTTTTACTTCAAAGTATCTCTCAAAATTGAAAATGCGATTTGAATAAATTTTCCTTACAATATTTTATATCTAAGAGAAATTAAAATTTATCGCATTCATAATAATTGTCCTTAACCTTTTAATACTTTAAAATAATTAATAAATACATTAGATATTTATGAATAATGAAATATTATTGCTTTCCGCATCTTACTAAAAAAATATGTTAATAATTAATAACTTAATAACATTTTAATCAAAAACAAAACAAAAAAAAAAGGAAAAAACATTATTAACAGAATACATTAAAAATAATAAAAGTTAAATCTAACTACTTTTTAACAACTTTTTAAAATATTTCATATAAATAGTACCATTAACTTTTTATCAAATAAACAATTGACATTACTGCTAACTTAACTTCAACTTTATTTTACAAGAAATGGAACCCACAGTGGAATGTGATTTAATAATGTTTGCTTCAGGAGACAATTCGTCAACATTTTCATTTGAAGTTTCTTCTTCCTTCGTACTATCTTTATTTTGCCTTTGTGGCGGATTTGTCCTTCGAAGCGCTAAATAACAACAAGCGCCAATTGCCGCACAGATAATAATACCAACAACTATTAATGATATTATTATTATCCATGTAATTCCAGATTTCTTGCTCTTCTCTCCATCTTAAAAGAAAGCGCCGAAAATTGAAAACAAACAAACAAACAAAAAACAAACACAAATATATTTTAAAAGAAAAAATGATTTTTACAAAATTTTTTTACAGAAATAATATATAATAGACAAATTAATTGCAATTACTTAAGCTTTCATTCTTAAAATATTCTTTTCGCCATTAATTAAAAAATGAAATTTACTTTTTGTGCAGTCGAAAAAGAACCAAGTTATATATATTTTGATTGATTCTTGAATAACTGTCACAGAACAAAAGTCTCGTACCTGAAATTAATAATTCTCATTTTGGGTAAGTAATTTAGAAATAGGCAAAAGCGATAATTAATAATTTTATTACTTGAAAATTTACTCTTTTGTTATAGAAAAAATTATTTCTAGAAGATTCAATAGTTTTACTCGTAAATACGTCACGTAAAGATAAGTAATTATAGTCCGACTATACATTTTTTTTCCATTAAACAACATCGGATAGAGTTATGAATAGTTATTTGAATAGCAACAGTTACATAAACGTTTGAAAAAGTTCATCATTTTTTGTCTTTACTTTGGTAATTTACGTAAGTGTTCTTGAAACGTACCACACGTAACATATATTCGAAATCTCTGGGATTTTTTATAACTTGAATTTTAAGATTTTCAGGTTTAATTATAGCTTTTTCAAAAGCATTGGTCAAAACTTTGTCACATTTGTCGTCCAAACTAACAATTGCTATGCAACTATTTTCGACGTCATAATACGCTTGCTTTGATATGCATTCATTTGACTCGTGACGTGACAAATGCTGCAATTTCATTCCTACCAAACTTCCAAATTCACGTAATTTTCGAGAAAGTCCAAACGTGACAGCTAAGTTCCCGAGAATTTGTCAGATCAAAGAAACTGTTCCTTATTTTTAGTAATCTGAATTCCAAATCTCATTCAATCATTGAAAGCTGCTTAATCTGCTTAAAATATTCTGAAATATTTTAGGCTTTATCAAATTTCGAGACTATCCTCTCATTAGTATCGCAATTCTAAAATCATTTATGATAAAATATTTAATTTATAAAAATATTTAATCAGCTCAACGACTTTAGTTTAACTCACATCGTCTATTGATTAGTTATTTTTGAGTGCAAACTGTTAAGAAATCAAATTTGGAATAAGAACTAATGAAATGTTTGAATAGGCCAAAAATTTTTAATAAGTTTACAATTTATTCAAACAGTTAAATTTTATTTCAATTTTCAAAATTTGCTAAACTTTAAGCTGCTTAACTAACTGTAATTCGTGCACGGAACTGTGCGTAAGTATTGACAGTGATCAAATAACCAACAATGCTAGAAAACAACCGCATGGAATAGTATGAAATACTGCAAGTGTCACCTCATTAGTGTCACAGCAATTTTATCATTCAGAAACATTAAAATAACACAATGAAGATAATACGTTATTAAATTTTATGTCAGTAAAACTGCAAAGAATTTTGAAGGTACTCAAATTTGTTTTTTGTTTATGAAATTCACCGTTTTGTTCAGAAATGTACGATGACTTCCGCTCTTTGCGCTAAAACGTGAATGTCAGTTATATATTAGCATTGTAATTTTAAAATATTAAATTAGACAAAACGTGAGGAAGAGCTAAATTTAGTTATACTATCAAATAGATTAAAATTAATGGTAAGCATAAATTTGTGTTTAAACCGGAAGAAAAATGTTACAAAAATTCAGATAATTAAGTTTATAATAGATTGAAATAAAATAAAAAAGTTGAATTAAAAGATGAAATTTGATTAAATCATGATAACAATAGATAAACACTAATCTCATTTATCACTAATAATTAACACTTCATGAATTGCCTATTTAATTTGCATTAACGACTAGAAATGCTGTGAAATTCTGCAACATTTTTTCGTAGAATAGAATTTTTTTTTTTTTTTGCATATTAATTTGATTTAGTTATTCGTTATAAATTTCAAAATCTTTTTATGAAAAGCTAATTGCAGTGATTAATGAATGATAAGCTTTCACAGTGGCAATGACAATAAGTGATAAGTTATCAGTTATCAGTGTGTGTGATAGCAATGAATTGATTATTGCTATGCTGCCAATTTCTTTTAATTGATAAATTCATTTGTTTAATTTGTTTAAACATTAAATTCATAGAATCTTCTCAAATGGAAGCATTTCTGTTACCTGAAACAGATCGATAGAATATTGTTTTTATTTTCCTTTTTTTTTTTAAATTTTTTTTTAAAATTTTTTCACATTTCAGAGAAATTCTTTATTATAACTTTGATCTGATCGTTTTTTTCTTTATTTTGATGACTTCAACAATTTTTAAATTTTTTAAAATTCTCATTTTGCTCAAATACTTCAGAAAAAAGTTTTTCTGATCTAAAATTTTATAAAATAAACAAGAAAGAAACCACAGATAATTAAGCACGTTAAGCATTCACTTACGTACGTGTTTTTAGTCCAAAGAAGAGAAAATTACCATACAATTTTTGTATGCGTGAAATATCACACTTAGTAAGTGTCGGCTTCACGTATTCTCCGTCATCATTAATTGTCTGATAGTGATAGAAAGGTGACATTATAGAATCTTTTTCCCAGGAATGTTCCAAACCCAAAATGTGACCGATTTCATGGATTGCTGTTGGTAGTAAATCTATGGTATCATATCTAAAATACCTAAATTTCATTTATTTTTTTTTAATTTTATTTTTTTCCAACTTTTTCTTTTTTTTTTAAAGATTCAAAAGAACATTCTCAATTTATTTAAATAGTTTTTCTCTTAAAACTAAAAAGAAAACTAACCTTGAAAGTTCTGTGATTATCATTGCAGCCCATTTTTCATCTGCGTCAAAATGAATTAATCCATAAGGTGGCAGTAATGTATGTGCTAGTATTTTACCTGTAAAAAAAAGAAATTTGATTCAGTTCTTTCAACAAATTTTGCTGGAATATTTTAAATATTTAATTCAATTTTTCTTTTCTATGCAAGCAATAAAAACTAATAAAATAATTTTTTTTTTTTTTTGAAAAAGCTATCCGAGAGAGTTGTCACCACTAAAGCATTGATAAATAAGTATCGTATCGTACCTTGCACAGGTATTCATCATACCTTCATAATCATCAAATATTCATTTACAGTTGGCGCCAACTTATTCTCTTCTACTTACTATAGCAAAAATAATGTATTAAAAATTTTTATTGTATAATTTTGATCATTATCTAAGTATTATCATAATCATAAAAAATTGATATTGTCAATTCCTAAAACATAAATTCGAACAAAATTTTCTTTTTAATAAATAAGAATGTTTATTCTTATTCTGATCATTCCATAGCTATTTTACTGATAACAAAAAAAAAGTGATAAGCCTGGTCCATCAAACGAATATCCATCTCCATGTTCACCGCTGACAAATGCAATTTTAATATTTCCATTTCTTTTTACTTCGATGAAATTTAATTGTGTCACCGTTGACCATTCCTCAAAAGCTACCTTCATTACATTTCTGAAATTTTTTTTTTTTTTAAATTGAATTGAAAGTTCTTAGTGAATAAATATATGTATGTGCAACTTCATTTAGAATTGTTTAATTTTAAGAACGAAAAAGAAAGTTTTATTGCATTTTTTATAGAGCAGCAATAATTATTACACCTTTAATTATTATACCTTATTATTTTTCTCGACAAATGCTTAGGAATAGTTCCTATCGAATATGTCAAATTTTTGCTCTTCCATTTGTATGCTCTATTTGAATCTGAAATATTTTGATAAAATGAAGGAAAGTTCTTGAAATTTCACGGAGAACTGTTCAATATCGATTAGAAAATAATCCAAAAGAATAAACTACACTGATCTTTGCTTAGCATTCAATTTTAATTTCTTTTTTTTTCAATTTATTAAGTCCAAGGCTAAAAAATCTTTCCTTCAAGAACTTTCCTCCTTAGCTTTCTTTATCAAATGATCGTAAGTTGACAGTAAGCTTATCAGCAAAAGTCAAAATGCTAATCAATGCACATTCTATTTTATTCATAAGCTACTGATTAGAATATCAGTGACTTCCGGTCTTCCGTAAATTAAACGGTGACAGAAATATTACGGACCATTTGAATATGACTCATTAACAACCTGTCGTGCACACAATGTCTTTCCGATTTTTTGCCGTTTCTGCTCATCGAATCCATCCGTCTTTATTAGATTTTTAAATTTTTGGAATAATCTAAAAATGCTGTTCAAATATAATTAACACAAATACTTTAAAGCTTTGTTGCATACATTGAAATATTATATCTAATAATGTGTGATAAAGGAAGTGATAAAAGAGTGATAAAGGAAAGTGATAAAGGAAATTTACTGATAAGAGAAGTTTTAATTTTATGTTTCGTTAAAGATTTCTTAGAAATTAATTAAAGTTAAGTATAATTATTATTAAGGCTGATAATGATGTCAACAATATGTTATGAAAATTATATAATTCTTAATCTATTAAATTGTTAGTGATTAATTGTAATAGAAATTTTCTTTTTTTAATATTTAGAACTTGCAAAAAGGAGAAAAAAAAAACATTTACTTGTGAGTTTCATAAGTATGCTTTAATAATTGAGTATTAAATTGTTTTTTTAAAAAATTGTACTTTGCCAAATGCACCTGTAAATTATTTGTAATTCATTGCATAGATGGAATAATAAACAAATTTCCGTTTTAATTTTTTGAGTATAAATTTGATGCAAACAATTTCAATACAACATGACAAAAAGGAGTTTAAAGATTCAAATTTCAAATTTAAACTATCGTTGAAATGAAATAGTAACAATAAAGATTTACAGGTGCAAAGTTTCTGACATTCTTCGGTGACACAAACAGAACAAATACTGAAACGAAGATTGCATTAATGGTCACACAATAACATAGCATATGCGTTATGAATTAAAAACCTGAAATCCATTTCATACTGAAATATGTCTGAACTATTATTAATATGTAATTACAGCATGTTAAACCTGTATTCATCTCATATTTAACTTTTAGTAGAAGATGGGCGCAAATTTGCTTAATTGAAGAAACTTGCGCACTTGTACACAATTAGGATTTCCTATGCTATAATTTAGGTATATAATCTAATTTTAATAAATAAATAATAAGTTTTTGTTACAACAAATTGTTTAGCAATTGTCTGCCAAAGAAAACTGAAGTATAGGACAAATAGGAATTGCTAATGTATAGGAAAGTTTTAAAATGAGAAAAACTATTTTTAAACGATTATCAGTTTACCAATTTTATGATCGATCACAACAAGTACAAACTTTTATCTGCAAAATATTCAAGCTTTTTACTAAAACTAAAATATCAGAAAATTGAATATATCATAAAGACAAATGTAAAAACTACATTTTTACAGCAAAATTTTGTATAGCACATTTTTATTTGTTAAAACATCACATAAAAGTTAAATATGCAATAGCATTTCAATTTTATAATATTTATTAGCATACTTTAATTCCCTCCCAGACTTTACAGAAATCGAAGATCAGAAATGGATCGATAAAAAATAATAGTTTAATTAATGATTGCTCGGCCAGAGTTATTCATAATGACAATTATCATTAATTAATAAAGTTTGCTTGAACGATGATAAGACTCTTTGCGCTTTTATCACTCATCAGACTCTCTATACTTTATTCATTTCTCGGTTCCTTTCAAAACAAAAATTCCAATTTTCTAAAGCATAAACTTACGTCAGATGAAATTTGATACTAATATAACTCTTATCAGATCTAATTTTTACTAATCACTGAAGTTGTAACTTCAGTTGTGTTAGTAATTGTTATCACATATTCTTCAAACGATCAGATCATTTTATCAGTTTCATATCTTTTGCTTCATTTCAAAATTGATCTTTTGCATTAATTGCTTAGAAAAAAGACAAAAACCTTTCTGAGAAAAAAAAAAAAAAAAAGAAAAAACTAAAATCTTTGCATCACTGAAAGAGTATTTGAGAGGTTTGTTGCGTTGATAAATTAAAGAAATTATATTCAGTTCTTGAAACTTTAATATAGAATTTTCATTATCTTTTGTTAATTTTTAATCCTTAATTTTAACTTATATGCATTATATTTCTATATTTGTTATCATAAATTTGATTTGTTCAATTTATAATGTGAAAATAATAATTTACTATGAATTACTTAGGTTTTAATTAAGAAATACATATACACTGCTGAAATCTTTATAAGTTCTTTTCGAATTAAATATTTTCTATGCTGAATTTGCTAAATGAGTACCAGAAGACACTTATAATTACTACATCTGAGCGATTTTAGTATTCGAGTATCAAATTATTGTGGAAAATAAAAAGCTTTTATTTTGCAAGAAAACACTGAAACCCGTTCTCTATGAATACAAATTAAATTTCAAACAGTACAAATAGAAAGAGTGTAGCATAATATGTACAAAAACATGCAACAAATTAACCCATACATTTGTCCAACTTTTTCAATTCTAAATTTTGATATACTCGATGTGACTTCTGTTGAAATTAGCTTTGTGCCAGAAATGATTAATATTTCTAAAGTTTTGTAATTGTTTGAGTCATACTAATTCAATGAAACATTCATCTTTGCAATCCTCAAAATGACCAGTTTCCAAATAAGTGCGCAAGCAAAATAATCAAAAGAAAAATTTTTCAAGTCTGTTTCACTACTAGCACACTGTTCGTTCTTGTTTCGTTTTCTGACAGATGAATATATATTTACGAATATATATTAAAGTCGTGAAATCTGAAGTGCACCCCAAACCCGTTTTCAAAGAAAAAAAAAATGAAAAAACTTTCATTTGTTGTTGATAGCACTGAAGTTTAACAGTTCAATACTTGAATTTGGAGACATGCAACGAAAAATGACGTTGAGCTATAATTAAAACAGTTATCACTTTTCACTTCATAAAATAATAGCAGCTTTGATGAAAGTCTCAAAATTTAGACTGCATATCTTTCTAATTCAATATACCACTAAAAAATTATTTGTCAAGATACAACTCCAAGATCGAAGAAACAAGGTGTTTACTGAAGTTCAACAATATTTTAAACAAATGAAAGCTGAATGAACTGCTTATGTCCTAGCAATTTTCTGTACAACATCATTAGCTGATTGTGGAGCAGGTCTCTTCTTCGTTTTCTGTATACATATTTTCTGGACGAATGCTATTAATGCGTTCTTATCAATCGGATGAATAATACTGTTATAAACAGCTTTTGCAGTTTTGCTTGAATTAGGCAAACTTTTATCTGTACGTTCACGCATAAATTCCCATTTACCATCCTGAAACAATGCAAATACACTGGAACTATTCATATTTTTATGCCCTTCTAAGTAACAAAAAATAAAACTGTTGGAAAACTTAAAATTTTTGTCACCACAGACTCTCAACAATCTCATTATGCTAACGCCAGAAAACTTAAGATATGGAACTTCTACCGAACATTGTGCTGCACCAAGTGATTGGATTAATAGCTGTATTATCTTCACTTTACTAACTTACATGTCAATAATTAAGTAAATCACATGCTAGCCTACAATAAATATAAAAATCTCCAACAAAAATAAAAGACTAACTTTAAAAGTACATTCAATAATTTTATTATCATATGGCAACAATTTCTTTGTAGCTTTCATTTGCGCCATTGGTTCTGACTGATTTTGTACGAAAAGAAAGCCAATATGCTCTGGCAATTCACCAGGTTTCGATATACGCCTTATCCTCAATTGAAAATCAATTGAATTATGAGATGGAGGCTTCCATTTCAACAATGTATCACATCGTCCGCAACGATATGGCTGAAAAGCAAACGGAATATATTGATTTCAGTTTTTAATTATTATTAATAAACTATAAGCTTATTAATAATAATTAAAAGTTAAAATTCTACAGCATAATACCGATCTATAAAGCTAACTTAAAGTAATCTGTAGTAACACAATATAAACTGAATTTTAATACAATGCATTGATTCCAGAGTAGAGAAAAAGATTTTTTCTAATTAGCAATGGAGGTCATTGCTCAAAATCTAGCAAAAAATTTCGAGAATAAAAAAAATATTCTTAGCTTCGAATAAATCGCATAAATCGAGAAAAATAATAAGAAATAGTAATCAGAGAAATCAAGCAGCTTCTTTAACTACTTTAAAGGAAACACACATTTTTGAGACTTACTTCATTTACTGATTGAAAAATTAAGCCATCAATTTCATGTCCAACATTTCTCGTAAATTTCTCATCAAATAGTTTTGGAACTGCTTCCAATTCCCAAAAATCCTGCAAAAACAGTTCTAAGAATAAAAGAACTAAGCTGCTGCAAAAGCTACTCAATAGCAAAACAATGAACATCCTTATCATACCTTATTACGTATGCTTATCGGTTCATTTTCTCTCTTGATACGACCACTTCTCAAGGCATCACGACGTGGTTGAATTAGATCTTCACGAATACATGACAGACGTGTAGTGAAATCACATTCACCCACATTTTGTCCCTAAAACTAAGTAATCATTCAGCACTGATACTTCAAACTCTTAAATTCGCTTCCAGATTTATGATGGAAACTTTGCCCTATGCTACAAAACAGTAGCACAATGTATCAAATGAAAACCTCAAATTTAATAATGTCGTAGATGAGCAATCTTGGTACATCGATAATATCACCAGATTCTCCTTTTACCTGTAGAAACGTAATGTCATTATGATCAAAACATTAGTTTATTTCGTTTACAGAAGATAATTTCGAACATTTAACATGTGCTCCAACCTAAACCTCATAACCAGATGGGAAATCAGCTAAACTTCAGATTAGATGAAATGGATCAAACTCTGAAATTCCGAAAAATGCCACTTTTGCAACAATGTAATTCATTTATGTGAAAGCAAACTCCAAAACTGAACCTTTTCAATTATCATTTCACAATCTAGAAGAGTATTTTGAATATGACGAAATTCTTTTTTATGCGGAAATGTTATACAGGATATTTTAAACACATTATTATTCCGATCAAATGCGTATATTGAATCATTATCGTCAATAAGCACCATATATCTAAATTAACATAACTATTAACGGTAGAAATTGATGAAATAGTAAATCAAGCATTAAACCCCTCTCATTATAATTAATTTATCTTTCTTCTGTATTTACGCTTTTAGAATCACAACACTGGGATAAACTTCAAAAGATACTTATTTACCTGATTCCATCTGCTTTCCAAGATACCATATACTTCCTCTCGGCCAAAAAACGTAAATTATCTCTTTCCATAGATACTGGTTGACTGCCAGGAAAACCATCTCTTTTATAGTTACACATATTCCGAATCTAAATATCCGGTTAAATGACAGACGGACAACAGTACAGGCCAGTAATGCAAATCAAAACATCTTTTATTTGAACCCTAAGACTGAAAAATAATACGACAATAGCAGAGAAACAGTTAAGCTCAACAAACCAAGCGAAACAATCAACTAAAATGGCTGGCATAAAGATTTAGAAGAGATTTATAAAAGCGGATATAACCTTATTTTGTAAAATGGTTCTCGTTATGGGATCTGATACGTATTTGACACTAGGTACTGCTCCATCCATAAATTTAGGTTCGTCTGGAAATAACTTATAATTCCAAAAATTTCAAAACATGGAGATTTAAGTCAATAAATCTCAAAATATTAATTTTTTGCTGATGGCTACTCTACCACAAGTATGAGCCATGGCAACAATGACTGGATAAAAAAAAGAAATAAAACTTGGATTTTGACTTGTCACTTGAAAACACTGCACTCATTATTAGAAACAAGCTGAAAACATAGAAATCGAGCCGGCTAAAATCAAAATTAAAACAAAAAAACACACCAATAAGTTCATCAGTGTTACTTGAGATAGCTTGACCACTACCGACATCGTCAAGTGAAATCCTATCACCATCAACTGGGCCATTTTCCCAGGCAGGACGTGGTGGTGCCTAAAATTCACTTCATTTTTCTCGTCTAATTTTATGTTTATTACTCACTGAATGAATGTTCGGGAAAATACACAAACCAAACTTGAATCACTCGAAAATCCGAAATGAATATCAAGTGAATTTTGCTTTTTCTATAAAAATAATTCTTCACGATCCATGATGCAGAAAAAAGTACTATATGAACTCCTGAAGAAAAAAGATATAAAAAAAAGTTAACATAAACGGCGAGATGTGATCAAAGAAAAAAAAAAACCTCAATTCTGTCATCTTCATCACCATATCTCTGCATAAGCTCATCCAAATAAAACTGCTTGTAAATGCCATTTGGCCTCATTTGTGCAAACGAATAAATGGCAGCATCGATTGCCCAATCCATAGCACTTGCAAGATATGCTGCTATCAAGAAACCTGTCCTATTAAATCCGTGAGTGCAATGTACTGCCACTATGTCTTTTGGATTTGCCTGGAATTATACATTAATAACAAGGAATCACATCTAAACAATAAATAAAGCTTTATTTCTTTCTATATAAAATGTAAGGATGTCTCTCAGGATGACAATATTACTTATGTTTTCAAACTATATATAGGATAGAAAATAATCTCACTCATCTATAATGGAATTTGGTATATCATAGCCGGCTGAAAATTTGTTTAAAACTGTAAAAAAGCAAATAACTTAAGAAAGACAAAGGTGAAAAACACAGTGAAGCTGGATCATTAACCTGAAGAAATCCGCGTACTATCCGACAAAACTGCTCTGTTTCGGCAACAGTCGGTGCTTCTCCATGACCTTTCATCGGGATCTTTTTATAAATACAGTTCCGTTTCTCGACCTAAATAGTAGAAATAAAAATGTAAATGAAAATTTATTCATCTCCTAAAAGCTATAAAACATATTTCGAACAATATGTTAGTCACAATAGAGCTAGAAATTATAGTAAAGAATACAAGTTATAACATAAAACTACAAGAAATTATTTTAAAAAAAAATTTAAAAAAATTTCACCTCTTTTTTATTGTAATAACGATTGGTTTTTGTGAGATCAATCCATAATCCAATCCTCGCACCTGGTTCGGCACCTCGAAATTTGTATGCGAAGACATCTCGTGGATGAAACTGCAACTTCTTTTCGATCTGCTCATCATACAGTTTGCAAAGAGGAGTTTTGAAGGGCAAAAAATGTTTTGCAACAATCTGAAATGCTTATGAAATTTATTTATCCACACAGTTCCTCTTCAATATCCAGAAAGTTCGAATTGCATAATGGGTTCTGGAACGTTATTTCAATCCTCCAGATGTTATAAGCAATATAGTAATACACTACTTGAAGACAATTTGAATTCTGCTATATCCAAAATGAATCACCGTGAAATCAACATGGAATAAAGTGCAAAAAACAAAATACTGCGCATACCGAGCCTAGCGGTGGACAATAAAGCCAACGATCCGGAGGGCCAAGATGAGCTTTCTCGATGTCAAGCTTTCCACAGTCTGTGCTACTCAACTCTTCGTCACTTGCCATTCATAACAGATGGAAACCTAACACTGAGTTATATCATAAATGTATACCTGAAATAAGTAAAATCATTACCGCTCAATCTTCCGTGCATTTTATACAGGCGTACAGGCGTACGTAGCTATCACACGTCAATAAGTCTATAAAACTCGTCCAATCTTCACTGTAACGCAGTTACGAGAATGTATGCTTAATATGCTAAAGAATGCATTATGGAAAGAACTAAGCAAGTAGACGTAAGTTTCACGAATTACTTGATGGAATCCACGCAAGTGAATTACCTCGTCCTAGATGACAAGTTGTCCCCTCGTCTCCTTAGATCTATTTACGTGTGCTAATAAATATGTAATATAAACCACCAGCACTTTGATCCTATCATTTAATTTCATATGCAAAAAAGTAAGTTTCCGTTGCATGCTCAGAGAGAGAGGGAGAGGGAGAGAGAGAGAGGGGAAGGGAGGGAGAGGCAGAGGGGAGAGAGAGAGAAGACAGAGAAGCAGTCTCTCCAGCACTCTAATAATCCTTTCCTTGCAATCACTGCCACACGATATTTCATCATTCTTCAACATCTCATGATCACTGCATTCCATGTATATTAATGTCTCCTTCCTATCGTTACTGACTTCCTACAATAATCTCTGTTTACTCTATCACCTCCTTCTATTATCAATAAAACACTATTTCTCAAAAATCTGCCTAGACTACTCGCAGCCTCTCTCATCGTCTGAATGACTTACAGCAAGGCAAGATTGCGTCTCTCATGCGTGCAACGCATTAGCGAAATGGAACGTCGCTAGGACGTCGCTAGGATGTCGCTAGGATGTCGCTGGCTGAGTTCAGTGTCGCATTCAATACAGTGACAACCACTTCATGTGATGGACACTTGCATTTAACACGTAACTGATATGATGTGACGTGCAATAAATATAACTGTAACGTGAAATGCGAGGTAATCCACGTCATCTCGCATATACTGTTGAGATTATCACATATCATCGATTAACAGTGCTATCTCAAATGCATCTGGCAGAGTGCTGTCAACTCATTGGAAGTGTGACTGATGCGAACTTTCATCCCTGTCATTTTTATTGCCCAAATATTCGGGGAAGTCGAATGACGAGGAATGTTGGGCATCTCCGAGGGTTGGGCAACTCCCAGGTATCTCCGAGGGTTGAGCAACTCCCAGGTATCTCTGAGGGTTGAGCAACTCCCAGGTATCTCTGAGGGTTGAGCAACTCCCAGGTATCTCCGAGGGTTGAGCAACTCCCAGATATCTCCGAGGGTTGAGCAACTCCCAGGTATCTCCGAGAATACTAACTGAGAGAAGGATGAATAGCCCTCAATTGCATTAGTCAAAAGACTGTTTCACTGCCAACTATTCGATACAAACTGCTCAGTGAGCCATTGATACGGAAGTCCGTCTGGCCGAGTGGTCTAAGGCGTTGCGTTCAGGTCGCAATCTACTCCGGTAGGCGCAGGTTCGAATCCTGCGGCGGACAGCTTAACATTCCGAGTGTTCTTTGAACTCTGTGTGCTCGGTTTTGTATCGAACACATTGTTAAAGGGGGAAAAGCATCCGTTTTTCTGCCTTGGCACTCCAATTTCAAAAGAACTAAGTGATTCGTACTGCACGTCATCATATTGTCACATTGATGCGACAGGTAGATTGACAGGTAGATTGTTTATCTGAGAGTGACAAAGAGATGAAAAAGCGAGCGAATTAGGTAGAAGAGAAGGAGTGATAAGAAAAGGATGAGTGATTGTTATCAGTGCAATGTATCAAATATTTGAATCATTATTTCGAGTGCTATTTACTTTAGCTTACTTACCTGTACTGAAGTAAATAAAGTTGTAGCATTAACTTAAAGTTAAAAAAAAGGAATTCATTTAATTCAGTTAATTTGGAAGAAATCTATCCCAGAGTTCTCTTCCCGGCAAATTTTGATAAATTATTTGGATGCTATCGATATCTTCAATTGGTAAAAAAAAAAAGCAAAATTAACTGTAATCTGCAAAATTTAAGAATTTTAAAAGTTATAAAATCTGCACTGCAATTATAGCAGCGTCAATTTGAAATCATTCTATATGAGAAATGATTTTAAATTGATTGAAAAAGAGATGAAAGAGGTATGAGAGAAGGATTTCTTCACAGCACATTTCGCTAGGCGGAAAAGGGGAACGGGTTCCTATGCGACATCGAGGCATTCACGCATTTCATTCTTAAACATTGTCGCATTCCTCACCAATATATATACCACTTTTTTGTTGACAATTTGATATTTTATTCTGGTCAGAAAATTCTTTACACGTTGAAAATATGGTAAAAAGTAACGTTTGTCTTGAATTGAGCATTTGTGAGTTAATTTGCGCTACTCGCTACTCATCTTTAAATATTATCATTACTGTTACAAGAGATATCTGTAAAATACTTCGAAATGAAATTTGAAATTTTGAATGCCCAAATCAGGCCTAGGACTTCTGATATCCAAATCAAGCCTAGGACCTCTAGGATCGATCGAGTCGTAAATCCAAATTGAAAATAAAGGTTGCATTGGTCTTCCATATGTATCGTGTCTAATTGTTTATGCTAATTAGTAGTGTTTCATCTGTGATCGAAAATGGCAGAAAACGGTGATCGAGACGAAAAGCATAGTACCCCTCCCTCTCCTCCTCCTCCTCCTTCTTACAAATCGATATATCCGGAAATGCCGGAAAAGGTATCCAATAAGCTTGATAAGATTAATGGCAAACCGGAAATCAGCCGTGTATTTGGCAGTGACATATCACTCATTATCAAGGCTGCAGATTTAGCTGCACGACGTCATCGTCAACAACGTAGAAAAGATGCCATGCAAACGCCATACGTGAACCATCCTATCGGTAAGTGATCTATCTTTACGTGCTCTTAAGGTTTTATTATTACTTTTCATTTAGTCTTTGAGATTATTTATCGTAAAATGCACATTTACCAATCGTTGATTGATTTTTTAATTTCCATTTATTTTATTGAATTAATTAAACTTTCGAAATATTTTCCACTGCTATACTACTATGTCACAGGTGTCGCCTACATCTTGACAAATGAAGGACAAATAACGGATACGGCAACAATCATTGCTGCTATTCTGCATGATATTGTTGAAGACACAAAAACAAGTGATGAAGAAATCCGAGAAATGTTTGGCGATGAGGTAGTACTCGGAGCTGTTTGAAAATGAATATTTCTTGAAATGTTTCTTTTTTTTTTTCTTTTTCAATTAGTTTTAGAAAAAATGAATGAAAGTATTTACGTGAATTTATGTGCAAAAATATCTAGAAATGATCTAGAAAATGTTTTTTTTTTTTGTAAAAAAATTTTTATAATTTAAAAAAAAAAATGCTTAAAATTCCAATTAGACAAAAGTTACGTCAATTTAATTCTTTCTCCATTAAGGTAGCAGATATCGTTAAAGAATGCACAGTGATTAAAAGTATGAAACGTCAAGAAAGAATAAAATCTGAACTGGAAAAGGCACCAAAACTGTCACATAAAGTAAGTTTAAATTCTTCGAAATGATTTTGTTTCCTCAATTGCAAATGCTACAAACGCTTTGAGAGAGAATAATATCAATGGAAGTGTAAGGTTGAGAAAGATGTGACTTAGATTCCGTACTTTTCCTCTCTCAATCTGTTATCTTCCAATTATCACTCCCGATTTATGTTCAATGGACTGATAACTTTGATAACACTCAGATGCCAATCACTCGTCGATCTTTATCAGCAAAAGAGACTATTTCAGGCGAAACTTGTACAGTTGGCTGATAAACTGTATAACGTCCGTGACATTGAGCGTTGCGTACCACTCGGCTGGACAAAACAGCAAGTGAAAGAGTATATTTTATTTGCGAAAGATTTGTTATCAATTATCAGAGGAATACATGGTCCATTGGAAATAGCTTTGGATGATATTATCAATAAAAATATCAAATGACTCACATATATTTAATTTTCGCACTTCATACAATTGTATTAGACGTATTAGACGCAATTTGTACAACATTATTCATTCAATGTTAATAAACACTGATAAAATTATCATTTTGATCATTTGGAGAGCCAATTTTGATAAATTTCCCAATAGTTTATTATGCTCTCAGATTTGATTCACATAATTATTAGGTGATATCCGGCATATCTTATTCCATCAGGTTGGAAAATGGTACCGGTACGGAATTGAAATTCTTCATACTTTCTTTATCTAAACAATTCGGTTATAAACTTACCTTCTTGAAATTGTTCATTTCAACAAATTTCTGATATTGTTGATATTATGGGACAGAAATAGCAGACAATCACTTCATTAAATCCAAACAACAAAAAATGTCGACCATATGACATAATTATGCGACAGGTATCGTTGTTATTCTTTGTTCGAAATTAAACTTCAAATTATTTATCACTTAGCACCTTAGCATTAATAGTGCAATTTTCAAGGTTAAAATAGATGTTAAATTGTACTGATAGCACTTTCAGGCGCTGTATGTATAGACGAATGATCATTATAAGACGATTGGACAGCTCTGATAATTCCGCCAGATTTTATGAATTATAATTACAAATAGGAAAAAGTTGAAAAAATTTTTCGATATTCGATCCTAAAATGTGCAATAATATATTAATGAAAATGAACAATCAATTTACTTAAATATTTGTCTGATATTTTTGATAATGTCAATAAACAGTGCTGAAAATATTAGATAAATTTGTTTTGAACAAATAAAAATTCTAGCAAGAAATTATATTTCATTTAATTTTTCAATCTGAAACATTTCACATGAAAGATTATTTCATTTCAAATGTGTGAAATACTATTTGATTCTCAAATTGATTTTGAAATTATAAATTAATTTCTTTTTGATCTTTTTCATCTTAAGAATAGTTATTTGACACTAAAATTTACTATTTTATCATCGGAAAGTTGCAATTTAATTCATTCCGTGAAAAGTACTTACACAAAAGTTAAACTTAGCAATGAAGAAATGTCTTTAATGGCATCGCTCTTCCAATTACTCTTTTTTCTTTGATGTCATATTTGTAAACTTTGTTGTCACCAAACAGCAGCACCCTCATTCGCCGGATAAGTACACCGGAAAAGTTCACAGTTTCAATTAAGACAACTAACAAATTACTTACTGAATTACTAATTATACGTTTGAAATCTATTACTAGATAAATATTTTTTCAAAAATTATCAATTTAAAATTTTTTTTGCCTGAATTCAATCTTTTCAAAAGATTTTGTTCAATCTGTGACACTATTTGACAATTTTCTCCACATACCATTTCTTAACAAATTTCTAATTTTCCTTTCTTTCACAAACAATTTTTGAGATAATTCATACAATACTTTCTTTCCTATTTCTTAAACTAAAAAGAGTGAAAAGGTAGTAAAATAGCCCAGCAATCAAAAAGTTTGTCACAGATTGAATTGTATTACCTCGAATTGGCTCTGCCGGAAAGTTATCGAAATAATTTATCACTTCATTTTGTAATGTGACACGATTCCAGTTCTCGTCATATGTCGCAAAATGATTACCCTCAAAATGAAAGTAACAAATTGTTGTAAATTTGATTTGCTCTAAAAAAAAAAAAGTTAAATTTTAAAAGATTTGAAAGGTTTAAAATGAATTATAATGATGTATAAGTTTTTTTATTATTATAGAAATGTGCAGTTATACAAATCAGATCATTTTCAGATCATTCTCGTATCATTTTCAGATCATTCTCGTATCATTTTCAGATCATTCTCGTATCATAATTCAGATTTTATTGAAATTAAAATAGATGTAATCGATGCTATAATGCAACTTGAAAATGATTTGTGATAAAAGAATGAAAATAATATAATTCGACTTATCCCACATTTCTTACAACAATAACAAATTTATATTCTCTTCTCTTTTCCTCTCTCTCTCTCTCTCACTTTGCATAATTTCTTCAATAAATTAAACGTTAATTTAATTTATCGAAGTTCCTTAGCTGAAAAGTCAAATATTTCATTTAAAATTTTCTTCTAAGAAAAAAAAACAGGAATAAAAATAAATTTAATTAAAAGATTTATACTCTTACATTAATTAAAATCTGTGATCCTTCATGCCATAAAAATGCGCCCATTGGTTTGAAATTTAAAGCAGTTGGCAATTTCTTCGGATAATTTGGTTGTAATACAAATTTCTTTGTACTTTTTTCAAGATTATATACAAAAACCTGCGGAAGACATTTTTTGCTGCTCCATAAAAATTTTTCATTTATAATCAAAATTAGGAAATAATTTGGTTATAGTATAAACAGGTAATTGAAAGGTAATTAAAATTAGAAAATGTTATTTGCATCCTTTCATCTAATCTTTGATCTTACATTAAAGTTTGATTGAAATAAGAAAGAAATGAATGTTCATTGTTGAAAATGAACATAATATTAACAATTTAGTTATCATCTAATCACTTGAAATCAAAATTAAAATCAACAAAATTACTTGGATTTTCAATCTTTGAAATTCAACAAAGGATAATCAAATATTCTAAAGTATTATTACATTTCAAACACTGGAAATGAGATGATTTTGTATAAGCTAAATAAATTGATATTAATGTTAGCTCTAACTATTACAAACTATAAATCTTAACTAAAACTTCAACTAAATTAATTTGATTTGTGACAAAAAAGCATTATGCAAAATTTAATTCAAATATGAATATACCATTTTTCCGTGAAATAGAAGCGTCTTATCCGTACGTGAATTCGATAATGCGCCTTGAACGAACGGAGGTCCATTTGGGAAGAGATTCTTCAACAAATATTCTTTTTTAACCCCTGAACGATCAAATTCATATACTTTGTTACCGCTGAACAAATAATTTGAACCATCCGCTGAAATGAATTATGCATTATCAATGTTATCTTCTCGTGATATGATCTTATCATGGTGATAAGATCATTGTTGCAGAGGTGCAATTATTGAATGATCTCCTCTGCTGATAACATCATTTATCACTTTATATCGCACATTGCGAATACTATCAATCAATCAACCTATGAAGGTAAGATATGCTTACTTGTAATGATACCATCAACTTCATCCGGACAGTTGACATCTATTTTCTTATCACTGTTGAAATCATTGTCATCATTCGATGAATCAGTTCCAAAATTAGAACCATACTCTGAATTACTACCAATATCAGCATTAGATCATCTAAAAGATCTTCAGTATGATTTTAGAACATATAATTAGTGATTATGGTGATAAGTGATAATAGTGTGACAATCCTTACAGAAAAAAAACGAACGATATGCATAGAAAAGAAAACATTTATGTTTATAAAAAAAAATCAAAATATTTCGATCTTTGTTTATAAATGATACTTGTTGTTGTTGTTGTTTGACCTCTTTGATTTGTTTCTTTATCATTTATTCCTGAAAATGAGACAATCAATTATTTATTGATTGTCAATCAGTTTATAATATTTAATTTATGCTATAATTATAGCTAAAATTATTATTTCTTTTCTCCACGATTTAGTAATAATTTTTGCTCGAAGCAAAATAACTTTTTCACAATTTCAGAAATAAAATTTATTTAATCTGAGTTATTTCATTATAAAATAAATAAATTACCATAAAGATACTGTATGTTTCTAACATCTGATGCAGACAATTTGGGTGTGATGTAATTTCCACGATTGTCAACTGTGTCGCGATAGAATGGTAACATAATGGAATCAGAATCTGCAGAATGCTCGAGACCTAGCACATGTCCAATTTCATGGATTGCTACTTGTAGTACATCCGTAGTATCATATCTAAAGTAAAAATTGGGAATAACTTTAAGTTTACATAGTAACTGATAAGTTAACTTATCTTGAACAAATCTATCATATCATCTTTCATTCATTCATTTACTCTCTATTAACAAAAAAATCAAATTTTTAATATTTCAAATTTATTTGTTGAAAAATTTTTTTCATTTCCACATAACAATTACAAGTAATGAAAGGAAAAGAAAAGAAAATTTAATTAATTACAGAAATTCTTATAGGCTAATCATTAAAAGAAAATTTTTTATTAGCTCAGCTACTTTTGATCATTACAATTTGCATCTATTTTTAACCATTTCAATTATTGTATTTAATCTATTCACCTGCTAAACCACTGCTAATTAATTAGTTAATTAATTAATTAAATGAATATGCTTTTCAATTCACTTTAGAAATATATTTTAACACTTTGCATCAGTTTTTTCAACTAAAATCAATGAATCAAGCAACTGAATATTTGGAAATTATTAGTGTACACCTTGAAATGGCATCTGAATTCATATAAACCCATTTCTCGTCTGAATCAAAATGAAGAATACCGGAAGATGGCAGTGTCGCATGTGCTAGTATACCACCTGCAAAGCAAATTTCAGGTTTCTTTTTTTGGATCTTTTTTTTTCGTATTCAGAATTTAGCTACAAAGGGACGTATTAGGTATATTAGCATTTGACACTTTATTGGCACTCATTGATTTTTAGGATAGACTTGCAATTAGCATTCCTTGAAGATTGCTTTCAACTGGAAAATTGATTGAATACGAAATTTCAACTTCATTAAATTTCAGAAATGCAAAAAATTCTATTTCTCTTTTGAAAAATTAAACTTTGACCTTCTCCATCAAAAGGCCATGGGTCATTGTGCATACGTCTTGCAAAAGCAATTGTTATGTCAGCCTTTTCGGATATTTCATTTAACGTTATACGTGTCACGGCTGACCACGTATCAAACGCCTTTTTGAGTGCATCTCTGAAAATTCTATTTCTTTAATTTAATGCAAAGTTAATTTCATATTTTAAAGAAAATCAGAAAATGTGAATTGAATAAAAACTTAATAAATATTAGTAAGTAAAGTGTGATTGATTCTTTAATTCCTAATCATAACATTTCTCATTCCAACAAATTAGTAATACCTCACTTCACTCTCAGATAGTTCGCTTGTTAATGATTCGATTGAATAGGTTAGATCACTCTTCGCCCATTTATACTTACCTGTAAAATTTATATAAATCTATCATTAATTAAAATTTCATTAATTAAAATTTCCTTTTGTAATGAAACAACGAAGTGATCTGATCACAAAAATCGATAATCATAAATTTCAATTTCAAAAATGGTTGATAGACCTTTTTGTCGTAATGCTATGACATCTGGGCGACCACAACGCTTTTGCTGCATTTTCTTCATAGTTGCTGCATCTAATTTGCCGGTTGGTTTTAAACCCGCAAATTTTTGAAATTTTCTGAATTGAAATTTAGTTGACTTAAATTTAATTTAATTTTTTTAGATAGAAGATTTCAGTTGTGAATTATTTTCATTTCAAGAAAGAAAATAACACATAAAAAAAAGAAATTTGTTACTTAAGTGCATCGCTAATTGTTACTGAATTGTGCCGTAAAGTGACTTCGCTGGATGGAAAATTCGGCAGAGTTAGTGAGATAATCTCTTTCATATATCCGTAATTGCTAAGATATTGCTACAAATTCATTATAATTAAGAAAAATTTCAATATTTTTTATACAAAATTTCTGTCCTTTAAAAGAAAAAATGAAAAAGTAATGCAAAGTTTTTTAAAAGTCAATTTTAAAGTTCAAAACTTTCGAGAATAATATCTAAGAGAGCAAAATTCTCTTTCCCTCTCTCTCTCTCTCTTCCTGAGCAAGAAAAAAAGAAGCTCTAAGCATCCTTAAAAATAAATTACTTTCTATAGAATATTGGGATGAACAAATTTGCATGCTTTTGGTATTTTGGTATGAGTAAAACCTGAAATTAGCAATGCTGAGGTACTAAATAATATTAATAAAATTGTCTTTAATGGCTGTAATTAATTAACTAACAGCGGCTTTTTCCACGGATATTTCATCGATCTGTTTCGTAGATACGTCACAAAACGTGAAAAGTGAAATTGATGAGAGAAATATCAAAATTATTGGTAACATTTTGAAAAGCGATCAAATTTCTGGAAAAAAAAGTGAAATTGATTTTTGAAAAATATATTTATTAGAATTCTGACAGATGGAAAAATGGAATTTTCACCAAATTAAAAAAGTGTGAGCGTTTTGTATTTGCGACAAATACAAGAATTTATCATTTTGACGTAAATAATTTTCCGTAAACTTTGTTATATTCCATTAAGCAATAAAATGAAAACATCCATATTTAGCTAAAAAAGTTATTTGTTTTTTCCGTTTTCTGTATTGCAAAGTTATATTTTCAACAAATTTGGATGATTATTTGACTGATTAATCATCGAAGTAATTACCTATGTAATAAAAGAAAAAAAAAATAGAACATTTGGCACAGAAGAACTTAGGACTGCAAAATCTTTTGTAATCGTTTCTTCTCTCTCTGTGTATGTGTCTGTGTGTGTCATAATGTAAAGTATTGATGGTTAAGTACTGGTGCTAACCAATAAGTAAAGTGTAAAAAAGTTAAAGTAAACATAAGTTAAGTTAGTAATATTAAAATCTTAAGTAATACTTTAGAATAAACACTGCCACTAAGGAAAAGAAATAAATACTTGTTTACTTGATTTTGCCCATTTTAGAAGAATCATAATTCTTGGACGAATCGTAGTTTTGAATAAATTTCAAAAATTCCTTCCACAAAATTTGAAAATTCCTTTTCAACTTTAAATCAACTGACTTAGTTATTTCTAAAAGTTACGAACTGAATAATATTTTGCATCATTTATACTAATTTGATGGTATATTAATCAGCACACTTCATGAGAGGCGCAAATATTCAGGCGCAGTTTTGAACATAATCGATCGAATGATTTCGCTGCATTTAAAAGAAAAATGTTAAATAAATGGTAAAGAAATGATATTGAAAAAGTTTAAAAGTAGGAATGTAAAAGGGAAAAATGTCAAAAAATAATTGAATGTTATTTAATTACTTAATTTTTAACAAAGAATGATTAATGCACATTGGTCTGATCACATCACAGTAAGAAGATGAGTTCATCATTTAACAGGAATTCAAATGAAATTGTAAGTTCCAAATTTTTAGATTTAAATTTTCAATACCTCATTTTTTAATGTAAACTTTAACATTTATAATCTCTAAGATTTAAATGAAGATCAAACCAGGAAAAGGCAAAGGTATGTCATTACAATTTGTTAATATTACTTTCTTTTATCGATCATTTCTGATTGTCACCAAAAATTCGAATTTTAAATTAGCTAAACGAATTGTGAACTTCGAAATTATCAGAAATTCATCGCATTATAATAAATATTGCAAAAAAAGCAATGCACAAATACTTGTAAAAACCTTTTAAGAAGTTTTTAAAAAATTGTTCTGTGAATGAGTCATTGGAATTTTGTGGAAAATGAGAGAAAAAAAATTAATGATCTATCTACTTGGTCTACACAAGGTCATTAATCGATCGATTGAACAAATTTAACTTTTTAACTAAATGAAATTAAATTTTTTCTTTTTTACTTTTGTCACAAATTCTTACGAACCATTAAGCATTGCCTTCAGTCTCTGTACTATCCGTTAATTAATGTGATTTCGAATATTTAAATAATTATTTAAAAGATCGAAGAATGAAAAAGGAATACGACGACAATGTCAAATTTTTTTTTTCTTTTAAAAAATATATTTACAAATATCAATTATTATAATGAAATATTTGCACAAAACATGGCACAGCTAATGAATTAATAACTCATTTTCCTTTCTTGTTGTTTAAGTATTACTCTTTACTTACGTGTAACTTACGTGTATACTCAGCCAGTTGAGCAGAGTTAAAGTTTAGTCAGTTATTATCGATGTTTTCTTAATTCATTGTAATTGAAATAATGCACAGCGAATATTGAATTAAACTTACTTTTCAATTTAACATACTTTATTTTAACAAAAATGAATGAATCATTCTAAATTGAAATCATTTTAAGCAAAATTAAAGAGATTAATGAATAAAATATTCAAATTAAATTTTTGATGGTTTGAAATTTTTTAAAATTAATATGAAAGATATTGAATGTGAAAATATTGAAAGCTTTTCTTATTTTTTATGATAATAAAATACAATGAAAATTTAATCAAACATTTATTATCAGAAAATAAACGAACAATTAAATTTAAAAAAAGGAAAAAAAAAGCAAAAAACAAATAAAGATGAAAAATTTTAAAAAAGTTTTTGAAAATTCGTTGTAATAATTTTTATTTCGTATTATAAGAGAATTACTCTGTGCATAAAAATGTTGCTTTATTAAATTAATTGTCAAGAAATAAACATTAATTTTGTTTAAAATGATCAAATATGATGGACATTTTCAATTATACTAAAAAGGAAGATATGGAGAGAGAGAGAGAGAGAGAGAGAGGGAGAGAGGGAGAGAGAGAGAGGGAGAGAGTGGCATATTTAAACTTATCGAAAAGCTTGACGAAACACTAAACACGTAATGTTGTGTTGTTGAACTTCGCAGTACAAATCTGAATTTATTAAATAATTGAATGGTTTAGTGGAACAGATTGTGTCAATGAAACCATTAAACTTTTTACGCATTGCTAATTGAATTTGTCGTTTTGCTGTCGATGGATTTGAGTGAATGTTCTGAAATTTTGAAATGAAATGAAATGAAATAATTAAATATTTTGTGAAAGAGTAAAATTCTATTCGATATGCAATTAATGCTTAATTAATTATTTGATCTAAGCAAATTAATTAATTTAATTAAGTGTTAGACTTGAATCGTAAATTAGAATTCATTTTTTAACAGTCCATCTACTATATTTTAATTTCTAGTTAATTTATTTCTGAAGTTTTCTCGATATCGTTATTAGTTAATGTATTATTTGAAAAATTTTATCGGATGATGATAAATTGGTAGATTTTCTTATGATACAATATGATTTATTGATTTTATTTGTGATAAAATTTATTTTGATTAAGCGTTAAATAAATTGTAAATGCAGCAAAACGAGAAAATTTCAATCCTTTAACAAAATTTAAGTATTATTGAAAACTTATTTAAAGATAGCTGTTTCACCGCAAATTCTTAATTTCATATTTTCATCTTTCTTCTAAACAAATCAAAAAGTAAACTTAATCTGTTGAAAATTTGATTCTACAAATAAATTACTTTTTTTAAATTATAATTATGAAGAAAAATTGTTGATGTATTCGAAAAAATTCATTTCAGCAATACTTTTTCTCAGTTCTTTAAAGCTTTAAAATTCGATAATAATTAATTTCCAATTTACTACTTATTTTTGATAAAATTTAAAACTATTTCACTGATAAATTGAAATATAATCGATTATACTGTAAAATTATATGCACTTAATTCTTCTATGCCATCTGCAAGCTTTTATGTTCAAAAGAAACAGTTCTGCTTTTAAAGAAATTAAATTAAATTTAAAATTGTCAACAAGAATTAACCTGCATGATCACTTTGCGCATAGTAAGGTCATTGCATTGGTTGAGAGATGGAGAAAAGTGCGTAATATTTTCTTGTTTCTTCTTTGCTACTTCAATAAAATAATTCAAATGAAAGTTAGCTTAATTAAACTTTCAAAATTTTTTTTAGAGTAAAACATTGCAAATGAATAAGTTAAGTTGGTGCAATGAGTTAATTTTAAAAGTACTTAAAAAGTTTACTTTTGGACTGTTAGATAGTAGTAGAAATTGAAAAGGTAATTAGTGCATACCTTCAGAAATGTTTGTATTAATTGATGAAATGGGGTGACTGTCATTTGTTTTGCTCTGTAAATTTCATTTGATTTCATTTCAGATGACAAAAGTATTTTATATAATGAAGAAAGTTAACTTTGACTTTATAATAAACAATGAGACGCTGATGATATGCTAACAATTGTTTTTAGCACGGTGAACTCTGACCTTTGCTGATAGATGTAAAATGATTGTTACGTACGTGAATGAGAAAACTTACTGAAAAGCATAAATCAAACTTACATAATTTTTTTTGGGGAATGATTCATGTTTAGGTATAATTGTTGATGACATGGTGGATGTGCTTTGTTCTTTTCGCTTGTCATCTGTAATGGTAGCCTAGAAAAGATAAAGTTATAATAATATCAAACTTTTTGATGAAAGTATTTGTTAGCTATGAACTGACAATAAGTTATTACTTTTTTCCTTAAAAGTATTATTTTAGAGATTTACTCATAGTAATATTTAATATCTATGACGAAAAGCTAAGTTATTCATAGTTATTTATCAAAAATTAGAAAAAAAAAAGGATTTGAATTTCACAGCAAATACAACAATTAAATTTTCTTTTCGTTTGCTTTTGAAATAATTTTATTTATTTCTTAGAAACTTTTTTTTAAAAAAGTTTTGACAAATAAGTGACTAAGTTATTATGCAAAATGGTTTAACAGTTGTGAAAAGAATTTTGAAAAGAGAAGGAAAATACGACAAAGAATGAAACTTAAAAATGAATAAATGGAGGTGACTAGAACAAAGAGACTTACCTGGTTTGTGTAATTAGCAAGGTAGATCGAATAAATAATGAAAATTATCTCTTTGCTATATTTCATCAATGCTTCTTCAATGATATTATTAATATTTACTTAAGTAACGAAATGAATATAAGTAATGCATTTTGTTTGAGTAATGATAAGAATGTTACATTGTGATAGTGATAATATCAATTTGATAATAGCAATTTGCTTTAAAGTTTTTTTTTTTGATAATGAAAATATGTTAAATTGAAATTTGTAATTTTTATCCAAAAAGTATAGTAAGAAAAGAAAATCAAACAAAATATTCAAACAAAATTTACGTTTCAGTCTTTTTTTTTTGAATTCTAAGTTAAAATTGCGACAAAATAAATAAAATCAAACGAAAGGAATGAAAAAATAAAAAATGTTTCTAACTAGCATTCGTTTAAAATAATACAATAATAAATACTTTTGAAAAGTTATATTTTCCTTTAAATTTAATTTTCATTTTTTTTAAATTAACAAAAAAAAAAAAAGGAAATTGAAGGAATCATCCAAAAAAGGATATTTCGACAAATGCACTCGTTCATCCTTTTGATAAAATTTTACGATTTTGATTTGATTTTGTCCACTCATTGCTTTTACTATTCGCTGTCAAACGAAACAAACATAATTTCATCTTTTTTTTTTTTCTCCAATTTTCTTCCTTTCATGAAAATTTCAAATTTTTTTTTTTTTTGTTTTGTTTTTTAGAAGTGCATTTGACATGCTGCGATCGCTCTAATTAATTATTATCTTTCTTTGATATTATTTTATTGTTTCTCAACAAAATTTTTACTTTGATGCATTTTCTGAGGCTTTCAGGTTGAGGCTAAAACTTTAAGAAGAAATTTATCATTAATTTTAAAATTAAAAGAAAAAGCAATAAAATAAGGTATGAAAGCAACTCATAATTATAAATTCCCACCTGATTATTATCAATTATTTTACATTTTTTTCACAGAAAAGTTAAAAAGTTAAATTAAATCGTTGCTATAAAATTAGAAGTCTAATTATAGAACAATCTTTTTTTGATAAATTATCAAAATATCAAGTTTATCAATTGTTATCAGCGGAAACCACTCATTTCTCTAAGTTTATATTGAATGTTTGTTTAAATGTTTCAAAATTATTTAATCACTTGCTTTTTTTTTTAATTATTTAATCAAATTACTAACCAATTAAATTAGAAATGAAAAATGAAAACAAGAATACCTAAAAAATCTAGCAACGAACAAGGAAAAGTAATTATATAATTAGTTCCAAAATTAATTAAAAGTGTGTAATTCTAAAAATCCTTTAAAAAAATAAATTGAAAACATATTTGTACAATTTTTTTATGTTTTATGGTTATATCAAAATTATAAGAATAAGATTTTTTGTGTTAATTTTAATTTAAATTATTTTGAAAAATTAATAATTTCTTATTTTGATGCAATTTAGTAATGCAATTGAAGTGAAAAAAAAAATAAAAAGCAAAATTACGATCATAAATTTAGTATTTATTATTAATAAATCTTTTCTAGATGCTAAAATAAAAAGGTAATACCAATTCAACCGATTGTTAATTTTCGATTGTGTTTTTTTCCGGAATACTGGATTGTTTTAGATAATTTATAAACTTTTATGGATTTATTGATGATACATAGCTCCATTAGAGCTCATTTGAATTTTTTGTTTGATTAAATCTAAATGTTTGTTAAAATGGAATAATTATAATTTCATTTCATTTGATTGTATTACAGATAGTTTATTGATAGAGAAAAATGAAATAAAATTATTAATTATTGGAAAGAGTAATTGAATTTAGTTAAATTTATAATTAAATTGAAAAAGCCATTCGAATCGAATTAGAAATCAATGAAAGGAATACTTTAGCTTTTTCGCACATTTCTGTTCTACTGCATAAGTAAGTGATCTCGAAATTATTCTAAAATATGTTTACAATACTAACTGATTCTGATTATTGTTGATGTCACCTCTTCACGGCAATAGTCTTTGATGTGACAAATCCGCATTATTCCGATCGAGATCAACCTTTGATGTGACAAATCCACATTATTCCGATCGAGATCAACCTTTGATGTGACAAATCCGCATTATTCCGATCGAGATCAACCTTTGATGTGACAAATCCACATTATTCCGATCGAGATCAACCTTTGATGTGACAAATTCGCATTATTCCGATCGAGATCAACCTTTGATGTGACAAATCCGCATTATTCAGATCGAGATCAACCTTTGATGTGACAAATCCGCATTATTCCGATCGAGATCAACCTTTGATGTGACAAATCCACATTATTCCGATCGAGATCAACCTTTGATGTGACAAATCCGCATTATTCCGATCGAGATCAACCTTTGATGTGACAAATCCACATTATTCCGATCGAGATCAATGTGACAAATTCGCATTATTCCGATCGAGATCAACCTTTGATGTGACAAATCCGCATTATTCAGATCGAGATCAACCTTTGATGTGACAAATCCGCATTATTCCGATCGAGATCAACCTTTGATGTGACAAATCCACATTATTCCGATCGAGATCAACCTTTGATGTGACAAATCCGCATTATTCCGATCGAGATCAACCTTTGATGTGACAAATCCGCATTATTCCGATCGAGATCAACCTTTGATGTGACAAATCCACATTATTCCGATCGAGATCAACCTTTGATGTGACAAATCCGCATTATTCCGATCGAGATCAACCTTTGATGTGACAAATCCGCATTATTCCGATCGAGATCAACCTTTGATGTGACAAATCCACATTATTCCGATCGAGATCAACCTTTGATGTGACAAATCTGCATTATTCCTATAAAAATTATGCTATTGAAGCTTAAATTGGCAGAACTGGTAGCGATTTTGTCTTAGTATTGTTAATTTCAAAAATTGTTTTAGGTTGACAGTGATCAGTTAAGGCTTCAGGTCTTCTTCATCTGTTGAATCCTTCATTACCTGTCTGTCATTCATCAATTGAAATTCCATCGGAATGTCACCATTCTTTTTATTTGTTCATATTTCAGTATTTGACCATATCTGACCTCTAAATAAATCTGACCTTTGGGTTTGTTTATTTTTTGATCGATTAATTAGTGCCATCAGAAGCTAAATGGTTTGTTATTACTATTCTCATTTCATTGGTAATACTTTCATTATTACAATATTAATAGAAACTTGTTTTCAATTTATTGGAAGTCAGTTGTTTTTTCATTTTTTAAATTCTTTTCATCGTCGTTTGTAATTTAAAGAGATAATAATTTATAGCCAACTTCAATCGATAATTTAAAAAGTTTATGTCTGTTTAGAAAGGATTTTATCAAATTTTGTTTACTGTATGAGATATTTACATTATTATTTACATCGGAATGTCTATGGATTCTCGAAAATTTGTCAAATTTTTATTCACTCAGATTGAAAAGATTGACAAAATGTATTGAATGACTGAAATATACAATGAAATATTTCACAGAATAATACTTTAATTTCAGAATAAGCAAATAATAATAAAAAAAAAAAAAAAAAAGATGAAAGAAAGGAAGTGCTTAAGACACTCACTAATTAATTAATTAATTAATTAATTAATAGTTCCGCATGGCATCTTTGTTACATTTGCACTTTAAAATTTATTGTGCTTGCAAACTGTTCGAACGACACAAAGGAAATGAGAGAGAGAGAGAGAAAAGTTAATTTCATCTTCCTCCTCCAACACGTACCATTCCTTTCGTTATTGTATTCCTCTTTTGCATCTGTTGAGTGGGTGTCTGAAATTTCGATAATTTGAAGAAAATAATGGACAACTTTTCCGGTTACGAAGAAAACCGGAAAAATAATATGAACGAATGTTCTGCAATGAATTGAATATGAATCTCGAGAAATGCTGTCTTTTATATAATCAAATTTAAATAAACTAAAAAATTGTTTTTTTTTTTTTTAAATTTAATTCGAGAAATATGAAAAAAGAAAAATATCTAAAAAAAATTGTGACAAAAGAGTAGAGAGAGAGAGAGAGAGAGGGAGAGAGATCAAGAGATGTTTTAAGAAAAAAATTGAAATTTATTTTTGGTGCCATTAAACATTAACTTATTTATTTTTCTCACACAGTTAGTGCAGCAATGAATGACTGCAAGATGTCAAAGGTTAGATGTCAAAGGTTAAAACTTGCTAACTTCTTTTGTCGTTGTCTTCTGTTCCATCACTGTTTCATTCTGCTCTACAACTGCTGAAAATTTATTCAACAAATGCATTAATTTATGACAGTTTGAAAAGAAATCTGAAAATTTTTGGATTTTCTCGTACTTCACGCAACTTACGTCTGTATTCAGGCGGTGGCGGTGGCCACTGACGTTGATTTGGCTTCACAGGTAATCGTGTTTGAAGAATGTCAACATCCTGTTGAATTTGCTGTTCAAATTCTGGTGGTGGCCATTGAACGGTTTTTAATCGAGAGCCTAAAATTTTTTTTCTTTTTAATTTTGCGAAATATATTTTTTCAGATATTTTTCCTGAAAATGTCAAAGTTTAAATAAAGATTGGACCAAATTTGAAGGATTCATCAACGTATCGGAACAAAGTAAACGGAAAGGAATTTCACATCAGGAAATCATCCGAAAATCAATATTTATTTACGATATTAAAAAATATTTAATAACTTATCAAAAAAAAGAAATGTTATGAAAGCTTATATTAGTTTCAATTATTTTGAATTTAAAGACGAAAATAATAAATTGATGGCCTACCTACAGATCTGTCTATACGAACTTCATTTTCAGGTGGTGGCCAAACTCTTTGTAAATTATGCGGAACTGTTTTACTCCAAGCTGTTCCGGTTTCAGTTTCCATTTTCGTCTGAAATTGCTACAAAATAAACTCTTCTTTTTAAGGTGAATTCTCAATTGGAATTAGTTATCACTCGAAATTATTACTTACATCACGTCTCCAAGCCGTATCTTCAGCTGCTTTAGTTACTGTCACTTCTTGTCTGTAAAAATAAAATCATTTCAAGTTGTCTTTCTTCACAATAATAAATGTTAATA